GCTCCCGGTAGGTATGAAAAGGTTTGGGATTGAAAGTAAAAATAGAGGGTTGGGAGGAGACGGCAATGACGGATGCGGTGGCAGAGAGGGGCTGGTGACAGGATGTTGGTGTTAGTGTTAGGAGATCTGCACATCCCCAACTGATGCAACAGTCAGCCAGCCAAATTCAAAAACCTGCTGGTGCCTGGGCAAAATTCAGCATTTATCTGCACTGAAAACCTTTGCACCAAAGAAAAGTGATGACTCTCTTGAGACTCTAGCTGGGGATGTTCACTTTGTTAGAGGAGACTTTGATGAGAATCTGAATTATCCAGAACTGTTGGGCAGTTTAAAATTGGTTTGATCCTTGGACGTCAAATTATTCCATGGGGTGATATGGCCAGCTTAGCATTGCTGCAAAGGCAGTTTGATGTGGACATTCTCATTTCAGGAGACACACACACACACACGCTCTCACACACACACACACACACACACATTTCAGGCCTTTGAACATGAAAATCAATCCTACTTTCATCCAAAATCTGCCACTAGAGCCTATAACGCTCTGGAAACAAACATCATCCCTTCATTTGTATTGATGTATATCCAGGCTTCTATAGTTGTCACTTATGTATACCAGCTAATTGGAGATGATGTGAAAGTAGACAAATTGAACATTAAAAATCCTAGAACAGGCCTGTCTTGATGATCTTCTTTGTCCCATTTCCTTGTTCAAATCAAGTAATTAAGTATTCTGAAGCCCCCAAACTATGACATTTTTAAAGTATTATGCATTAAAAACCAACATTTTATTTTGTGATACAGAATTTGCTACAAGCTTGTTGTAAACTATAAGAATGAATTTAGCTTATAGGACATGATTTCTAAGGAATACCCTGTACCACGTGGTAAATGGATGTATATCAAAAAAAAGTTTAGCTCTGTAAATATATTCAGTGTTAATGTTTGTTTTTAACATAGTGCTTGAATAGAAGAGTTCCAGATGACCTCATTGTATACACTATCCTCTTTTTTATACTGTAATAAACACCTTTCACACTAACCCCTCCATTGGCAAAATCTATGTCAGGGATAGGAGTAAAGGAAGAAAGAATGGAAGAAAACACAGAAGGGTTTTGAGGTGTGAATTATTGGCTATAAGAGAGGATGACTTCAATTTTCTCAGTAAAGTAGTAGGCAAGTACATTTGCTGAGGGAGAGGGTCCTGCAGGTAGTACTGGGGGCTTGGGGAGGGAAGAGAAGAATTGGAGCTGCTGCTAGAGAGTGAGGCATTGATGTGTATCTCTGAGCTCCCAGCTGAGATGAGAGAGCCTGAATTGATGGCACACCCACTTGATACTGTTGCGTGATTTATTCTAACAGCATCAAGAAGCTTGGGAGAAGGAGCAGAGAATGGGTGATCCAGGTTGGGGATGATGCAGGGCTGAACATTAGCAGGGCATGTATGGCGGACGGACAAGGGGGCAAAGGAATAGAGGATGGAAGACGCTAACATTGTTTAACCATACATCGAATGGGATCGAGACTGTCAAGGGTTGAAGGAGGAGCCCAAGCAGGGGTTATGGACTGATGAGCAGGGAGAACAGGGAGGGATATAGGGTATCATGGGGAGGATTAGTCAATCAGTCAATAAACATTTATTAAGCTCCTACTATGTGTCAGATACTGTGCTAAGCACTGGGGATACAAAGAAAGGTAAAAGACAATCCTTACTCTCAAGAAACTTACAATCTAATGGGGGAGACAATATACAAACTACTACGTATAAATAAGCTGTACACAGGATAAATTGGTGATAATTAACAGAAGGAAGGCACTAGAATTAAAGGGGATTGAGAAAGGGTTCCTAATAGAAGGTGGGATTTTAGCTGGGACTAAACCAGGGAAGATATGAGGAGGGGGATCATTCCAGGCAAAGGAGACAGCCAGTGAAAAGGCCCAGATGGAACATCTTATTCAAGGGACAACAAAAAGGCCAGTGTCACTGGATTGCAGAGTAAAGGCAGAGCATAAGGTATAAAAAGCATGGAAAGTTGAGGGAGGGCAGGCTATAAAGAGCTTTGAACTGGGAGGTGATAGGGAGCCACTGGAGTGTATTGAGAATGAAGGTAACATAAACTGAACTTTAGGAAGGTCACTTTGGTAGCTTGAGTGGAGGATGGACTGAAGTGGGGAGAGATTTGTGACTGGGAGACCAACTGGCAGGCTATTTCAATAGTCTAGATATGAGGGCCTTCATCAGGATGGTGGCAGTATCAAAAGAGAGAAGGGAACATATCCAAGAGATATTACAATGGTAAAAACCTTGGCAACAGACTGGCTATGGGGGCATGGGGTGAGAGAGTGAAGAGTAACTGGGAGGATGGCAGTACCCTTGACAGTGATAGGAAAGTTAGGGAGAAGTAGGGGTGGGGTGGGGAATAATGAGTTCAATTTTGGACATGTTGAAGTCTGGGTGTCTACAAGACATCCACTTTGAAATGTCCAATGGCAGTTGGAGACGTGAGACTGGTTAGGGCTCGACAAGTAGATTGGAGAACCATCAGCATGCAGATCACAATTGAATCCATAGACGCTGATGAGATTACCAAGTGAAACAGTATAGAGACAGAAGAGAAGAGGGCCCACGACAGAGCGTTGGGGGACACGCACGGTTAGCAGGCAGAGCATCACCTTGAGAAGTTCCAGCAAAGGAGACTGAGAAAGAATGGTCAGATAGGAAGGAGGAGAATCAGGAGAAAGAAGTCACGAAAATCTACAGACAAGAGAATGTCAAGGAGAAGGCGACTGAGAGTGTCACAGAGAGTGGCTTCTCTACAGAGTAGTCAAGAAAAATGAGGCTAGAAAAAAAAGGCCATTAGATTTGGCAATTAAGGTATCATTAGTAACTTTGGAGGGAGCAGTTTGGGTTAAATAAGGAAGCCATGACGGTAGAGAGTTAAGAAGACAAGAGAGAGAAAGTGGAGGTACCTATTGTAGAAATAGCTTTCCTAAGGAGTTTAGCCATAAAAAGGAGGAGAGATATGGAGTGCTACCTAGCAGGTATGGATGGATCAAGTGAGCGTATTTTTGAGAATGGAGGAGACATGGGCACAACTGTAGGCTGTACAGAAACAGCCAGCAGACAGGGAGAGACTGAAGATAAGTGAAAGAGGAGGGATGATAAAGGGGTCAATCTGCTGGAGGAGAGGAGATGGAATGTGATCACTTATGCATATAGAGGATTTTCCTCGGCATGGAGAAGGGCCACCAATTCATGTGACGTGGGTGAAGGAGGAGACAGAGGCAGAAGATATCTGGGTGAGATGCGATGAGGAAAAGAGGAAAAGAAGAAGCTCTTGGAGAATAACCTCAATTTTTTTTAGTGAAATTTAAGGTCAGGTTCTCAGCTGAGAGGATGGGGGGAGAGGAGTTATGGAAGGTTTGAGGAGGGATGAAAAGATTTGGAAAAGCCACTATGGCGAGTAGAATAGTGAGTCAGTCAGGTAGAAAAGGATGGCTTTGCTGCAGTGAGGGCTCAGTTGAGATTACATAACATAAATTTGTCATGGATCCAGTCAGCACAGGTTTCATGATTTTCTCTAGCTTTTCTTTGGCAGTGAATGAGGAGGGGTGAACACGGGGGATGGTGGTAATAACCCAAGACTGAAGCTTGGCAGGGCAATACTGGCAATAGGATAAGGGGGCAAGGGTGAAGAATAGATTTAGGAAAAGTGAGTTATAGAGGTGGAATAAGCTATGAATATGGGCAGAGAGGGGAATTTCAGAATTCAGAATCTTGGAGATTGCATAATTATAAATGATGGTATAATCAATCAAGTAGCATTTATTAATTGTTCACTACGTTTTTAGAACTATACTAAGTACTAGAGACACAAAGAAAGGCACAAAAAAAGCATTGATCCCTGCTCTCAGGTGGCATAGAGGATAGAAAGAATACTGAAATTGCAATTAGGAAAACCTGAGTTCAAATGTTGCCTGAGACACTTATTATGTATATGACCCATCTTTGTTGTCATTGTTGTTGAGTCATTTCAGTTGTGTCCAACTCTTCATGACCTTATTTGATGTTTTCTTGGCAGAGATACTGGAGTGGTGTGGCATTTCCTTCTCCAGCTCATTTTGCAGATGAGGAAACTGAGGCAAACAGGGTTAAGTGACTTGCCCAGGGTCACACAGCTAGTAAGTGTCTAAGGTCAGATTTTAACTCAGGAAGATGAATCTTCCTGACTCCAGGCCTGGCATTCTATCCACTGTACCACCTAGCTGCCCATTACCCTATGACTATGACCCATAGCAAGTCATTTAATTTCTCTGGGACCCAGTTCCTCACCTGTGAAATGGGAAATAATATCTTCTTCACAAGATTGTTACTCGATTCAAAACAAAGTGCTATATTGCTGTATTGTGTAGTTTGTCCTTCATTCTCAAAGAGGACCATGACGTCAGGAAGGTGATGCCATGACATGCAAGTGAATTGGATTTTAGTGAAGGAGGGCTGTGAAAGGTCACCAGCCTTACTTTCTCTGCCAGAGCCATCTGGGTGTAGTGGCCAGATATAGATTGGGACGACTGAACATGACCCAGGATTCGATGGGAGACCTTGGCCTTTTTAAGCTAGTGCTGTATAAATGTTAGCTGTTAATGTTACAGTGAGATCTAAGTAAAGACTATTACTGTGGAGGACTCAGGTGGAGTGACAAGGGTAGGCCATGAGAATGTCAAAGTCCCAGTTAGACCCTGTTTCTTTTGAAGTAGCCTGATATCACTGACACTCGGCCTTTCCAGCTTCAGGTGTCTGAGGCCCAGACTTTGAGGTAGCACTATGTCATTTTTAGGCAAATATATAGAAAATAGCAGTATTTTGACATGTAGTAGCATTAGGCTCTATTGGTTTTGTTCATTTTGATTTACTTGATATATTGAAATCAAGAAGTATGAGAAATTGACTATGGTGGAGCAGTTTCATTTTCTGTTATCCATTTTTTTCTTTCCAGGGAAGTTTGGCGAGCATTAGCAGCACTTGTACAGAGGTGGGCAGTTTTGACAACGCTGATGTAACTGGAGAAATACTATTCGCCCTTCAGTATGACTTTAAGACTTCTACATTGGAAATCTGCATCAAAGCCTGTAGGAACCTAGCCTTTGGAGAAGAAAAGAAGAAAAAATGCAATCCGTAAGTTGCTATTGTTGTTTTTTCATATAACAGTAAAGAAAAATATTCTTCCTCTCCTCCCCGACCTCTTTCCTTTATACCCATTATCGGTGGTTCTCAAACTTTTTGGTCGCAGGACCCCTCTACACTCTTGAAAATTATTGAACTGCCCCCACCAATAGCATTTGTTTATGTGGGTTATACCTATTGATATTTATCATATTAGAAATTAAATGTCTTAGTATTATAATGAAAATAATTGTAATCTCATGGACCCCCTGAAAGAATCTTGGTACTCCAAGGATCCCCAGTCCATACTTTGAGAACTCCTATATCTTCCTTTGTTTTTTGTTTTAAACCTGAGATGTAGGGGATTATCAACTTTTATAAAGCTCTTAACTGAGATTTTTTAAAATAGCAGTAGCCCCTTACACGTTTTTAGTGGCTTGAAGGCAATTGTTGGAAAAATTTAAGACTCAGTCTTCTAGCCCTACCTTTAGACTTTAGGGACACCCAACTTGAAAGGCAAGCAACTAATCCCTGAGCAGGAATTATAGCCGTCCATAACAGCAACTAATTTACCTTATCCTGCCCAATGCCCCCAGCTATAAGAATGGTAGCTGAGGTCCCCCCCCATGCACTGGTAATTGATGGAGTCTTATGGTTGGAAGCTGTCTCTGGGTATTTATGACAAAGTACATTGTGAGTAGATTGAGAAGAAGATAGAGTGTGTGTGGAATCAGGGAGAGCAATTCTGAGCGAAAGTAGGCATGTGCTAGTAGTGAAATTTCGATGAAGGGTATATTCATTGAAATATGTGAATTAGTGCCCATGAGTTGTGGGGTATTTTGGGTGTGAATTCCCTAAGCAATTTGAGGGTGCATTTCTGTCCTTGCTCCCTCAGGGGAACCTTCACTTAAGGAGTATTGGAATGATAACTTGGGGAGTGACTGAGCTCCTAATGTCAGTCCCCACAGAGTGACTCAACATTTGGGGCATTATGAGGACAGAGCTCTGATAGATAGAGATGTGTTGGATCTAACTATGTGTCCCCATTAGTCTCTGCATGAGTACCTCGGGGAGCCGAAGCCTAAGGGTAAGGGTGTGTATGTGGGTCTGTGCCTCAAACCCTCTGTCCTCTGTCCTCCCCCAGGCATAGTCACTCCCAGACAGATGAGAACTTATTCTCTTCTAAAAAACCCCAGAGGAGATTCCACAACATTCCTTAGTAAACATGCGGTCAGCAGTTCTTTATCTACTGAAATCTCTTATGTTGCAGTTTCCCCTCACTGGGTCCTCTGTGGGGGTGTGAGGAAGGGGAAACAGCTGATCACCATCCTCTCTAGAATAATCTTTCATACTCCTCACTTTGCTATTTGATTGGGAAATTATTTTTTTTTATCCTTTTATATCAGAGTGAATACCTTTACAGCATTAAGCAGCATCATATAATAGAAAAAGCGATGAATTTGGAGTCAGGAGAGACCAGAATTCACATCTTGACCCTGAAATTAGCTGTGTAACCAATGGACAAGTCATTTCATGGTTCTTTGCCTCAGTTTCCTTGTCAGTAAAATGAGGATAATTATAGCACCTGCCTCATAGGGTTGTGAGGGTCAAATGAGTTAATTGGTATAAAGCTCTTTGCAAACCTTGAAGCACTGTGTAGATACTAAGTAGTATTTTTGAGGGCATTTTTTCTCTTTTTTTCTTTTGGTGAGGCAATTGGGGTTAAGTGACTTGCCCAGTGTCACACAGTTAAGTGTTACGTGGCTGAGGCTGGATTTGAACTCAGGTCCTCCTGACTCCAGGGCTGGTACTCTACCCACTGCACCACCTAGCTGCCCCTATAGTTTTTCTTTTAATTTATAAGGCAAAGAAAACAGAGATAGGATACAAACTTTTATAAATATATATAATAAAATATATATAAATATATATAATTATGTATAAACTTATATATAAACATAAAATATATAGAAAATAAATATGTAAGTATATATAAATATATATAAAGTAAAATTATAATAATTACAATAAAATTAATGAGCTCCTGGTTTGTCTAATGTTAAATCCTGAGTGTGTGTAAGAACAACCAAGCCTAAAGGTGTTGTCCAAACTGCATGACCTGCTTCCGCCTCTTGTCAGAGAGATGGTGCACTGTAGGTGCAAAAAGAGGCATATGCTATTAGGCATGACCAATGAGTAACTGCACTTCACTGTTATATAGAAAGGGTCTGGGTGCAGGGGTCAATGTTGGGGGAATCATTAGGAAGTGACTGGGTCGGGGGAAAAAGAACGTCAACAAAACATTAAAAAAATAGATTAGACTAGGAGAACAGACAGCCCATACAATGTACATTCCCTTTGGAAGGCAGCACATGAGGTGTTCCATATGTGTGTGTTACATAGAAAGTGTTTCAAAGAGTTTTGTTCAATCCGAGTTTGGTTAAAGTAAGTTTGAAACCAAATGGGCTTCAAGTTACAAACAGCTTATACAGGAACAACCACATGTATTCTTCAGGGCACCAATTACACCCCTTAGCTTAAAATTTACTTTAAAAATTTGAAAAGGTTTCAAGAAGCAAAGGACAAGGGTTAAGGGCCAGGGGGTGGGGGTGGGGGCAGGAAGAGAAGGTTTGCCATTGTTCAATTTTTTTGGAATGTCACCTAGAAGAAATCCTGACCTTTTTCTTTCTTCTTCCCTTTTTTGGTCCTCAGCTATATAAAGACCTATCTGCTACCTGATAGAGGCTCTCAGGCCAAGAGAAAGACAAGTGTCAAAAAGAATACTGTGGATCCTCTCTTTCATGAGACTTTGAAGGTACAGGCAGGTCAACATTCATTCAAAGGCTCTGACCCCTTTGCTACTCCAGGCCCAATATCTGCATGGTCAAAGTCAAACTAATGGGTTTTTCCAAGTCCGTGGGTTAGTTAAATTAAAATTTAAAAAACAAAACAAAACACAACTCCACCAACAACCTATATATAGATATCTGTAAACCTCTGTCAATAAGTTGCAAGTTGGGGAAAAAATAAATTTGAGCCTTTGTTCAGGAAAAGTGCAGTGTCCGCTGAACTTGGGAACAATGTTTAGTTAATGATTTCTGGGGGGAAAAGGGGTGAAAAAGAGAACCTGGCTGGACCCCATCATCCATCTCTGAACTGGGCTAGAGGCAAATTAAAAAAAAATCCTTTGACTTGTTGAATCTTGGTGAATATCAGAGAGGTTTTCTCAAGCAGTGTGCTGTGTGAATGGAGATACATGTTAAATAAGATACATGCTAAAAAGAATACATGATAAATGAGATACATGTTAATAAGAATAGCAACTCATGGATGGAACACTTTACACAGTGCTTTCCTCACGACCCTATGAAGTAAGTAGTGCAAATATTATTTTCCCCATTTTACAGATGGGAAAACAGGTTCTGAGAAGTTAAGTGACATCTGTAGAAAATTTTCTTCTGCAGATAATGAATGGCATACACCCCCAGGTTTCAACTAATTTTGATGGGAAGACGTGGGCTAAATTATAGTACAGTTTGGTACGCTCAGGCTGAATACCCAGACCTAGGAAATTGATTAATAGATCAGCATTGGACTAGAGAGAGGCCTCCAGTTTCATGCCATGGGGTTCTGCCCCTCACCTCATTCTGTTCAACATTTTTATCAGCGCTTTGAATAAAGGTATAGATGGCATGGTTATCAGATTTATGGACGGCACAAAATCAGGAAGGGATAGCTTACACATTGTAGGGCAGAAGTGAGATCTTAGAGCAATCTTGTACCTAGAAGGTGCTTAATAAATGCTCATTTGATTGGATTGGATTCCTAGGACTTGCCAGGAAAGAACCGCACCCTGGGGTACCAGAGCAAATAGTCCTATTTTAAGCAGAGGATGCCGATTTACTACAGTAAAGCTGGGCTTCTTCCAGATCGAGAGCTTGACTGTACAGGTCTGGAATGGAAATTTGACACCTGGGAAGCCATGGGACTGTTTGTGTTTCAGAGTCATTGTACAGGGAGGCCCCAGGCGGCTTCTTTCTTTAGACTCTGACAGCATGCCTGAATCTTGGACAATTCCCTGTGTTCCTCTCTATTCTCAGCACTGGTTTTTGTGTTGTGTGGGTATATGGTATTATGTGTGCCTTCCTGGATGCAAAGAGACAGGTGGAGGACATTCTCCCATATCACTGTTTTGTAGTATCATGTGGAGTATTCCCAGTTGCAGACCCGGCTGCTCCAGATCTCCGTGTGGCACTTGGGGACACTCACCCGGAAAGTGTTTCTGGGAGAAGTTTTGATTCCTCTGGCTTCCTGGAACTTCGAAGATAGTACAGCACAATCATTCCACTGGCATCAGCTCAAAGCTAAGGTGATCCCTGGGTTCAATGTGGTTCATGTCATGTGGTAGAAAAAAAAAATCTCTCTTAAAACCAACCCCTGGGAGGGCCAGGGGGAATGAAAAGGTTACTAGGAAGAGGTGGGATCTCAATTACTGCCTTCATGGAAGGCTTAGCTGGCTAGGACTCATTAAAATTTTCTAGGCAAGATAATGCTAAAACTGTCAGATGGCATAGTAAAATTTTACAGAGCTAGTTGACTTTGTGATTTTAAAAAAAAATCATTGCTAAGGTTTTGTTTAAGCATTTGAATATCTTCTTAGGCCTTTTTTTTTTTTTTTAAAGCAAACTCAGTGTGACACACACAAAAAAGAGATCTGACCCAGATCGTCAGGAGTCCATGCTCTGAGTGTGCTAGGGCCCCTTCAGTAAAGGTGTTATTTTTTTTTCTTTAATTATTTCATTAAGAAACTGTGAGTGGTAGAGTATCTCTACCACTGTGGAGCCCACATGTTTCCTGTCAAAGACTTCCTTTTGGCACCTTGCTCAATTTCCTGAACCTCCTTCCAAATTTCAGTTGTAGTTAGTTACTATTGGCTGGTGATGATCACCCCACCCTTCCCTGAAATTCCTAAAGTCCACAACCTGGAATCACAGGCATGAGAAGGCCTTGAGGTGCTACTCAATCGACCCCTCTGCCATTGAGGTAAAGATTATGAACCACTGAGTCTACTCATTTGTTATAATCTGAATTTCAGTCCCAAATGTACCCTAAAACAATAACTTTAAAGTAATGAATGAAATGTTAATTAGAGCAAATAATCTTTAGAAAATTTAACCAAGTCTAGAACGTTGAACCAGAGAAATAGCTATTTCAGAATTGGTTCCATAATTGTAACAGCAGCTTTGTAGTGGGAAAAGATGTTCATACCTAGGGATATGGATTTACAAATGAGGATACTAAGACAGTTAAGTGACTTGCCCAGAGTCACACACAGAGCATGTGTCTGAGGAGATTTTGAATTCATACCTTCTTGACTCCAAGTCCAGTATGATGAGTTCTAAACAATATCCACTAAAAATGAAATTGATATCTTAACAGGTGGTAAATGACTGGTTATTGCCACTAAGTCATTTCGGAGTCAATTATGTTTAGTTAGATTATCTGCTAGTTAGAGCACCAGTAAACATTACACCAAAATAGAAGAAAGGATAAAGACGAGAGGCTCCAGCTTCTGATCTCAAATAGTGACCCCCAGCACTTCAAAGGGAGTGGAATTCATTAAGCCCATTAAGCCAGGAGCTTCTAAGGTATCCTCAGCATTTTCCCGGACAGGGGTACTAAGAGAGCCAATTAAACACAGGCTAAACTCACAAAGACCTGGCAAGGGACAGAAGAGTCATCAAAGTGAGCAAATACATTGCTCATAGATCATACAGGGCAGAGGCAAAGGAATGTTTTTCATGCAAAGAAGTGAAACATCCACAATTCAAATCAGTTAGAAAGGTCACCAGGAAAGAAACTCTTCACTTTGGTAGTGTAAGAACATACAGACCTCTCCCACACTGACCTACCAGAGGCAGCTCCTCTGGAAGAGAGGAGGGCTCCTATAGGTATGGAGACACACAGAAAGCTAAAGGCAGCCCCTTCTCTCTCATCTTCTAGCTGATGGCACAGCACTCCAGGGTGTTGCTCTTACATATATCACTGAGCAAGTTGTTTCATGCCTTCCAGAATAAGAGAGGCCTGAGCTCAGAGGTGTGGGCAGGGATCCACGGACTAAAGCATCAAAGAATATTGTTAGAAGCTGAGAGGAAAGGAGGGGGAAGCTTCTTATTTGACAGAAGAGGGTTGGTTCCCAACATGCCTTTTATCATTTATTTCTGTTGTAAACTTGAAAAGATACCCAACCCTCAATTATTTAAGTCTTGAAGAGATTTAAACCTTGTGAGAAGTCAAAAGGCACATTCATAAATGGCCGATCTTGGATTCAGAAAGTCCTGCGTTCAAGCCCTGCTTCTGACAGAAATTAGTGGTGTGATGATGGATAAGCCACCTAAACCCTCAGGGTCACTAGAAACTCCCTAAATTGCAGACAGATTACTAATTTGGGAGGGAGTTTCTACATTGATGACTAATGCTGGCCCTTACTAAAAGAAAAAAAAAAGTAGAAGTTGGGGTTGAGAATGAGATGAAGAGCTGGGGTGTCTTAAACACGGAGTGTAATACACACTGGCAGTTGTATCTACACTACTGCTTTTATCTAACTACACCCTAAGCTCAAAATCTGCTTGCACCCCCTTTAAACATACTTTTCCCATAGAGAAACGAGAGGGATCCCAGAAATGAGCTATTTTGCTGTACAGAAAGTGGCTGGGCTCTCTTAGCATTGCTTGTCCAAAGAAGTATCAGTTCCTAGGATGCCATTGGGATCAAAGACTTTGTATCTAGTATCTCAGGGCTCAGTACACAGGTGAGGTATGTCAGCCTCTGCTCTCCTTCAGCCTCCTGCACTCTTTCAGGGTAAGGCTCAGGCCGGAATCATCAGGGCTCCGTTCCCACCCACTCCTTTGCTTTCTCACTCTAGGACAGAATCACTGCCAGGGCTCCATAAATCCAGGGCACGCCTTTAATCCTCTGGACTGCTTCTGATTCATGCTGTGGTTTTCTCTCTCTCTCCTTCACAGAATTACAGAATGGCAGAATGTCAGAGTTGGAGGAGACCTTGGAAGCCCTCTGGTCCGGCCTGTACCTGAAGAATGCCCTCTCAAACAAACACGCCCTGCCAGTGTGCGTCCAGCCTTGCTTGAAGAGCTCCAGGGGAAGCCATTCCACCCAAGGCTGCCCACCCATTTCCACTTTGACATTGTTCTGTTTGCTGGGGATTTTTGCCCAACATCAAGCCTAAATCAGCCTTTCTGCACCTTGTGTCCAATGTTTATAATTCTACTCCCCGAGGTCAAGTAGAGCAAGTGACAGCCTTCTGATACTCAAAGACAGCTAGCATGTGTCCCCCTGCCTTCTCTTCTTCAGGTTAAACATCCCTGGTTCATTCAATTGACTCTTACATGGTATGATCTTGTAGCCTTTCCTAATTCTGGTTGCCCTCTTCTGGATGTGTCTGTCCGTGTCCTTAAAATGTATGGCCCCCATCTGAACAAGTGTTCCCAGTATGGACTGAACAGGGCAGAGTCCACATGATTGAAATAGCTTTTATTGGCCACAGTATCATACCATTGATGCATATTGACCTTGTAGCCTACTAAGTCCCACCCGCAACCCCAATCTTTTTCTGATAAACTACTATCTGGCCATGCTTTCCTTATCTTATACTTGTAAATTTTATTTTATTTTTAATCCATGACACGTTATCTTAATATGATTCACACTCTTGTTCACAACACTGACTCAGTTAGTGAGATTCTTAAATTTCTTTCCATAACCCTAGGGCCAGTTTCTACCACCATGTCATCTTGATAGTTAGCATCTAATTAATGTCCTGATGCTACTAAATTCACAACCTCCTCCACCACAAAAGTGCCAAAAACTGTGTCCCAGCCCAACCCCTGATGCCCAGCTGTTCTGCCTTCCAATCTGGGTGATGGGCCTGGAGAGAAGTTTTAGGGAGATTCTTCATGAATAGCTGAACTTGTGGGTAATCCCACATTCTTGCTTTTACCACCAGTGTCAATCTCTTCCATTCACCAACAATTCCCTTGGCACCAAAAAATGTTAACATCATTGTTTTTATTTGATCTTCTCTTTGACCCTTCCTTCTGTCTACCAGAGCAGCTACATAGCTGCAGAAAGGCAGATATTGGGGTGGTTAAAGGAGAAACTAGAGAACTGGATAATCTAAAGACCATATGTGTGTTTTGATTGATCAAGATTTGACTTTTTTTGGTGGGGGAATGGAAGGAATTCTACCGTCCCTCTAAACAAAGATACTGGTAGCAAGGTGAATCAAACTGGCATTCTTTCCTCTCCCACCCAGAATTTTATTATTCTGGGCCTCTAGTCAGGTGGCAATTTCTGAGACTGATTATGTCTTAGAACATTGGCTAACAGATCATGACCCAGTAGCACTGAGCCGGGACAGTCATCTGAGGGCGGCCAAGCATGTCAGCCAAAGTCATGGGCTTAGTTGACTCTTTCAAACAGTAAATACCCAATGTGAATCCTTTAGTCAATCAGTCAATATTTTCCAAGCACCTATGAAGTACTAGAGAGACTCAAAAAAGTACATCATATGTTAATTATGTGTGCCAAATCTCTCATATTGCCATGTCAGGTAAAAAGGCATCTCTCCTAAGCCTGGAGAGCCTTATCCTCAAGCTCATCAAAAAGTACTGGTTTTATTAGTTTTATTTATTATTTAAATAACTTTGAAAGACTTAAGAACTCTGGTTAATGCAATGACTGACTATGAGTCCAGAAGACTAATGATGCAGCATACCACCCACCACTTGACAGAGAGATGACAGACTCAAGATGGAGAATATGACATATTTATGGACCCAGCCAATGCAAGAATTTGTTTGCTTGACTGTGTATTTGTTACAATGGCTTATTTCTTTTTCCAGGGATGGGGTAGTGAAAGAAAGAAAAAGGAAACAAAGAAAAGATAGAAGGAAAGAAAAAAGAAAAAGGAAGAAAAGAGGGAAGAAAAAGAAATGAAAAAAGGAAGGAAGGAAGGAAGAAAAGTGGGCCATTGAGGAATCTTTTTTAAAAATGTACAGAAGAGGGGCAGCTGGGTGGTACAGTGGATAGAGCACCGGCCCTGAAGTCAGGAAGACCTGAGTTCAAATCTGACCTCAGATCAAACACTTGACACTTACTAGCTGTGTGACCTCAGGCAAATCACTTAACCCCAACCGCCTTTAAAAAAAAAAAAACAAAACCAAAACGTAGAGAAGAGAACCGAAGGTCAGAAAAGCATAGTTGAGCAGATCAGCTTTGAAAGTCAGTCTTTACTTTTTATATACTTAAAGAAAAGCAAGCTCTGTAGAATAGAAATCTGCAGTTTCATGTGTAATCCTCTTTTTCTGTTCTACTATGTATCTGGAAATGCCATCTTATTTGGTGTTACATTCAGAATAAAAGTCTACCATTTCATCTATGAAGTCTCTTTTGAATGCCACCCCAACATTGTTTCCTCCTCATCTGCTCATTCTAAATGCCTCTTCCACACTCATCACGTTCTAATTTGTATTTTATTTAGAAGCATATCTTAGCTCCCCTATTAGATTGTAAGCTCATTCCTTGAAAGGAGTCATCTTATTTATTTCTGTATTCCCTCTCCCACTCTCAGCATATAGTAGGCACTCAATAGGTAAGTGAAGGCAGTGTGTTTATTAAGCACTTACTATGTGCCAGGCACTGTACTAAGTGCTAGGATACAAATGCTAGCAAAATGAAAGATGGTCCCTGCCCTCAAGGAGCTTTTGTTCTAATGGGGGAAGACAACGCCCAAAAGGGAGTTAAATAAAAAGGGGATTGGAGGAATGAAGGCTGAATAGAGTTTGGAAGTCCAGAAAGTCAGAAGCACAACCAGGAAGGGAATGAAGGTTGACCAACCTTGGCCCCTCTCCAAAATGGAGGTCCTGGGAGGAACTCACCAATGAGAAAAAGTTCCTGGCTTGGGCCCCAGTCCTGAGACAAGTTCCACAGTTTCCTGAACAGATCACTGACTGACTGACTGACTGACTGACTGCCCCATGACTGACCACCAGAAAGAAAATGACTTTTACCAGTCAACAATGCTCTAGAACTGGAGTTCAGGTTTGTTTCCCCTCTGAGCAGTGAGAAGACTCACACCCTTCTAACTCTATAAGACTACAAAACTGCCAAGAGGCTAATGGGACTTGCTTAAAGGAAACTAGAAGCAGCAGAACCTTAACTAGCACTACCAGGGGCTGGGAACCTGCAGCCTCGAGGCTACATGTGGCCCTCCAGGTCCTCAAGTGCAGCCCTTTGACTGAATTAAAAAAAAACAGTTAAGTTTGGATTCAGTCAAAGGGCTCTACTTGAGGACCTAGAGGGCCACAGGTTCCCCAGCCCTGCCCTAGGCAAACAGAGCTTTGCCCCAAGGTGGGGTACTTCCTTCCTGAGAGGGGGAGGACGTACTCCTTCCTGTCACAACTGCATTTCTTTTCTGTGTTGACTCATCATCCCGAACAGTGCCTTGCTTTGTGTTTTTCTACTGGCCTATGCTGATAGGAAGCCTATCTGTCACCCCTATATGCTCTCACTGCAGGTGGAGACAACATACATGGGGGACTAGTGGTCAGGGAAAGGTTCTTTGGTTTGGGAAGACACAGGGATGGTGAGTGGAACAAGTGGACACTTTATTTTTTTTATTTTTTTAAAGCTATTGTAATCTTTTTTTTTTTTTGTGAGGCAATCGGGGTTAAGTTGGACAGTTTATTGAAAGTGCTTTCTAGAAGCAATGGTACTACTGATTTGGTTACAGTTCCTGGAGGAAGAGATGGAAATTCGGAAGGGAGAAAGGAGGGAACAGCGCAGAAGATGGCTTTGTCCCAGGGAGTTCAAAGCTCCTCCTGGGTGGGCATGGCCTCTGGAGATCCATTTTGGAGGGCATAGTAGTAGGGTGGCAGCTCATAGTAGGAGATGGCTGGAGTGAAGAATCAGGGTTGGGGCTAGATTCTCCCCTTTTTCTGCCATGACTGAAACCACAGCACTACCCCAGCACCCCGATTGTTCCTTTGTCCTGGGTAAAAAAGTAGCTAGTTATAACTAGAGGTAGGGCTTCGTCTACTTCTGGCTATCACAATGTTTCCTAGAGTGGTGAAATTCTGTTAGGGGAAAGGAGTAGGGAACGTCAGATATGTTCTAGAAGTAGGAAAGGGGCAAAGAGCCCACTTTCCCCAATTTAGCCTACTATTCCCCCCCACCTTAACCCTTTTGCCCACTGCCCCTTACCCTGGCTTGCTTGTAAATACATTCAAAGTGGTCCTATTCATGCTTTGGGAATTGATGATTTAGATGTGGCAGCCATGGAGGAGGTTCATGGACCAAGGCTTCCAGGAGCATTCTCAGAAGCTGAAGGCGGAAGGATGGGATGCTGCCCATTTGTCAGAAGAGGGTCAACTCGTTTCCTAACAGCTGGGGTTCCGCCCTCGTTTCTAATCAAGGCTTCCAGCTACCTGAATTCATGAAGCTATCCATCCAACTCAAACATTTTTTTCTGAGACAGCGTAGCATTTACTGTGGAAAGAGCACCAGATCTGAAGTTGGAGGACCTGTAATCAGATCCAGGCTCTGTCATTTACTACTTCTGGGCTCTTGGCCATCACTTCACCACTTCGCCCTTCAATTTTATTGTTGACAAAGAGTTGGTGATGATGTCTCTTTCAGTCCTAAATGTGCAAGGTACTGTGGTAGGACTAGGGTTCAAAAATGACTAAAAATAAAAATAGCTAAACTTGATATAGCACTTTAAAGCTTTATAAAGCACTTTGCATGTGTCATTTCACTTTAGCCTCACAACTTCTGGGAGGTAAGTGCTATAATTATTCCCATTTTACAGATGAAGAAACAGAGACAATCATTGGTTAAGTGACTTGTCCAGGGTCACACAGTGTTTCAAAGCAGATTTGAACTCAAGTCTTCCTGACTCCTGGTTCAGTATTTTATCTACTGCTCTCGCTGCTCTCAAAGACACGGTTCTTACTTTTGAAAAGTTTAGACTCTAGCAGGACAGCTGAGTCATGCACTCTAAGCAATAGAACATAGAGCTGTGAAAAGTGGATCTGGGAGTTCACAAGAAGAGACTGTTTTTAGGTAGAGGTTCCAGGGAACTCTTCACAGAGGAGGTGGGACTTAAGCTGGGTCTTGATGGAAGGGAAGATAAATATTTTAATATAAAGGAATATATAATCTAATATAATATGGTATAATATAATATAATGTAACATAACATGACACGACAACACAACACAGCACAACACAATACAACACGATACAATTTAAGGCAGCCAGGTGGCACAATGGATAGAGTGCTGGTCCTAGTTGTCTTTGTGAGTTCAAATCGGGCCTCAAACACTTACTAGATAGGTGAACTTGGGTAAGTCACTTCACCCTGTCTGCCTCAGTTTCCTCATCTATAAAATGAGCTGGAGAAGGAAATGGCAAACCACTTCAGTGTCTTTGCCAAGAAAACCCTAAAGAGAGTAGTGAAGAGTTGGACGCTATTGAAAATGACTAAACAACAAAAATTGATAGGCTATGACAATATACTATAACATAACATAACATAACATAATATAATGTAATAAAAATTTCAATAGGTGAAATA